TGAGTAGGGTTTTTAGAATAGTTGGTGTTATATTGCTCAATGTAAGTGCGTTTATCATAGCACAATAACACGTTTTTTGCATCGTATGTACCTACGATTCAATCGAATAACTCCAAACTTAACTCTTCCCACTCCCTCCCACCTTCCCTCCCCCAATTTTACCAATAAAATTCATCATTTATTTGATGATAGCGATTCACATCAGTGTCTGCGATAAAAATGATAAATTCTAAGCATATTTTCGTACTAGAGTAATAATTTAAGAATTTGTGGAAAATCTCCATCACCCTTCAAACTCAATCACAACTAATGGGAAACTTGGCAATAATCATAAGGAGGGCATTTGATTTCTAGATTTCAACATCTTCTTGCATAGAGCAAAATCCTGCTCTAAATAAGGAGATAAATGAACTCAAATATACGACTACAGTGTAGATGTTATTACCTTTCAACTCCACACCCGCTGCTTGAGTTTAATTTCTTCGGAGAGAGAGAGAGAGAGAGAGGGAGGGAGGAAGATTAGCGCGTACAAAGAGCTAAATATAACTCATCTACCTTAGTGAGCGTATTTAGCAGTGAACAGAGAATTGCCTGGCCCAACATAGACACTCGTTCGCTTACAGTGGTGGCGTTGCTTTCGGAAAAGGTAGGGAAGCAATACCACTGGTGAATAGGTACTTAGGTAGCTCTAAGCCAATCAGCGTGCATACAACACTACCCGACTTTATGGCGGTTGTGGGTTAGAATGAGAATTAGTGTTTTAAGTAGCTCATGCACCAATAGTTCCCCCCCCCCAACTACTTAAATGACTAGCTCTTACTTGGTCACGTGGAATGTACTCATAGTGGAGTGTTTTGCAGCGTGTGTCCATTTGCTGAAGTAGGTAGGACTAAGAGGATTGCTAGTGGATGAGGAGGTGATGTGAGTTGGAGATGTAGGCCAGACTTCTATTTTAGGCAATTTCTCTTATCATGCGATTGTCATCATAGAACTTAGAAATGAAAATGTTTGCAGTGAACTGACTGTTTTAAAAAAAGAAAGTAAATGAAAGTCACCTGCTTCCACCTCGTTCCTCACCCCCCCCCCCGCCGTCCAAATTTTTAAATTTAAAATTATATAACATCTCGGCTGCTTATTTAAAAAAATCATTAATAGAATAAATAGATGAAGTTTATGATGATTTTATACATATTTTTGATAGTTTTGCATCCTTAATCCAATTAATGTTGGCCTCAGATAAAAATGTTGAATTTTTATCAAAATACCATTCTACTTAAGGGAGAATATTTGTTTCTTGAGGTAAAAGTTAGAACCAAATTGTTCTTTACAACTTTCGAATACTTTAATTTGAAATTTGGCTGGATAATTGTTTCAATCCTAGCGCTAGGCAAACGCACCGGCTCCCGAATTTCCCAAATGAAGATGGAAATATAACTTAATGTAAATGCCCAAGTAAGACTACATCTCTAATCTGTTCAGAGAATTCCTTCAAAAAGGAATGGTCTTCAACGCTACCTAGAGGCAGTAACTTTCCCCCTTCAGAGACTCAAGATGGAGATGGCCCGGTGATGTGCTCGACTCTAGCAGGGCAATGCGATAGGGAGACAAAGGCAGAGTTAAGACGAGATGAGTTACACTTAGCTGCTTACACGAAAGCAGAGATGTGAGCACAAGTTGAGTACGAGTTCGCTTTAAGGAGCTGCCTATTTGCTGCTCTGTAAGTCATTTTATAGTGGAATTGAGCTGTCATGGACAACAAAGATTAACAGCTTCAATAAACGCAGTGGCCAATATGATTAAGGAATTTCATTCGAGATGAATATTACTAAATTCCACCATGACCATTATTTTAAAACAAATTGGTTTCTTATTTTTATTTGAGTATGTTTTTTGTCACATATTATCTTACCTGCGTTTTTAGCTACATTCAAGTAGATAGGTGGAATATAATCCAACCAATCCTCATGAACTATCTCTGCTCCTTATCACCAAATGTAAATACTCTCATACAGTGGCTGTAGACTTTCCACCTATTGGAGACCAACAAATGGTGAGTACTCAGTTCTCAGCTAATAAATATTGCAAAGGTTTGGAAGAACGTGTCATGCTGATTTTGCTAATTCTTATGTGGCCAGTTAAGGCTAAGCAAAAAAACAAAATAAACGCATTTAATTCACTGGAGAAATCTTGAAATAAATAAATCTTGAAGCTATCAAAAAACTAGATAGAATTTGAGACTCCCGTTTTTCACATGTATATATATATATATATATATATATATATATGTATATAGTTGCCTCAAAGCCTTAAACACCTTTATTTGTATGCTTATTTAATCACTGAGTTTGAAAGTGCTGTGGATGTTTTTTGTGGAAATATCGATTTCTTTCTTATTCATGAGGGTACATCTCCAAAATAAACCAATCAGCAAGCACTCTTTGACCTGAACCCTGATCTGACCTCACTATTTTCCCAGATCTAAAAAACTATACCTTTATAATACTAAAGACAAGAGGCAAATTGCGAATGTTAATTTAATTATTGTTTAAATGTACATATATCTGTATAATAGAAGTCGGAAAATAATAAATTCCACTAATATTCAACTCGGTAATTATCGATAATTTCTTTTAAAGTTGCAAGTTCTCTTTCCCATTATGTCTGCCAGAATTTATGCAAAGTCTAATAAAGTAAATCACTTGAATTAAGCAAAAATTTTGGGCAATCACGAGATATTTATTTTTAGCAATTTTAATAAACTTGCTTGAAATAATTGCCTTCGCAGTTGTATCCAATTTAGAAAAAAACGCTCCCATTAAATGCGCAGAAAGACTTTGAAAATAGATATCATTGATTTATGTGCATATTGTCTATCCAACCATCGATGGCTTTCCATTACTCCACCTGCTAATCCTGACTTTGAAAAACACTGTTGGTAAGTTTAGAGTAAAAATGAAATTTCAAATTTCTTTGTAATTGACACATTTCTCCAAGTCTTCACATCTTTTCTTGTCAACCCTATTATTTCAGCAAATCACTAGAGGCCTTTTCCGTCTTCAATGTTCATATACACTGGCATTTTTTTAAATTTGGAACCCCCCAAAAACTCGCATAGGTATAACAGACTTTTATTGATTAGAAGAAGATTAAAACGGTGCTAATATATACTCAATTTGAGTGGAAACAGCCGAACTCTGCTACCTTTAGAAGTGTAGTTATCCAGAGCTGATATGGAGCCATTGTCCATCAATCAAGATAATTTTGCCACCTCAATCAGTGAGAGGAAAAGGTTAACTGAAGTGTTGATATGCGCTGGACACCGCAGACCCTCGCCTGTTGTTGTTTACGAGATGAGCCGTAGCATTTGAATTTTAGAGTGTAGATAACGCGTTCAGTAAATATCGTTCAATTGGAAATATAAGAATTATTTGATACCTCAATGTTAGACTCAATACAATATATTTATTCATTTATTTCAAAAGGCAGGCTTTATGATATTCATCATTAGCCCTTAAACTTTGACTTCAGCTTCCCCCATTGATGGGGGAGGGGGTACATTCAGTGCAGTTAATTAATAGCAGTTCATTAGCTGTCTTCTTGCTTCCCAGTATCTTTGGCTTTCCGTCCTTGTCTTTAGAGCTGGACAGCGAATCAGGTGAGTCTTCTCCATTTCCTCCTGTAGGTTACATAGAGGGCATGTGGGTTGAGTGTATACTCCCAATCTGTAAAGGTGTTTTGCCAAGCAATCGTGTCCGGTACGTAGTCTAAACTCAGCAACGGCATCGATTCTTGGCCAGTCGGCTATGTCGGAGAGTGACACTGTCCACTGTTTCTCCTTTGTTCGAGCTTTAAGTTTGTTGCACTTTGAGGCCTTGAATTCTCTCCTGATTAAGGCCTTCATTGTGTGGAAAGACATCGGCTGGTCCATGAATTGCAAAACCGTTGTCCTCCTCTTAACAAGTGTGTCAGCAAGCTCATTGCCTTTAATGCCACAGTGACCAGAAATCCATTGTAGGACCACCGTTTTGTTTTTCTCTCTCAGCAGGTCATAGAGTTTTCTACATTCCTTTATCTCAGCTGTTTTGGGTGGCTCTCTGTTTCCAATTGAGTTTATTGCTGACTGTGAGTCCGAAAATATCACCGCTTTGGTGAATTTCGCATCCAGAAAACATAATTGGCATAGTGCTATCCTAATGGTCTCTATTTCTCCTTCAAGAGCGCATCTATTGTGTCACGCGGCTGCGTAGAAAGAGAAAAGTTCAGAATAGACACCTGCACCAACGTTTGCATGGATTTCTATGTATGACCCATCAGTGAAGACTTGGAGCCATTGATCTCCAGGTTAGTTGACATTGATTGTCTCAAGGGCCAGTGAGCGCATTTGTTCTGGAGAGATGTTCGTTTTCCTGAAGAAGTCAAGCAGTTGAGTGCAACACACTACATCAGTGTCTGCTAATGGGTTCATGAGTAGAGAGAGGCTTTTTGGTTTGTCATCGATTTATAATGCTTTCTTCAGTTCTATGGCTTTCTGTATTAGACCAGANACAGCTGATTGTCGTCTCTAGGCTTGTACGTCTTCCGTTCTTCCAGTCTGATCAGCAGTGTTGCGAAGGGCGTCCCGCTTTCTTTTCAGTTTCTCATGGTGTTTAGACCAAAACACTCGATAGTGTTTAGTCTTGCCTCGGGGAAAAGTTTTCTTTGCACATCTGATCATAATATTCGTGATATCATTGCTAAGTTTGTCAGGATGTTGGTTGAAGTTGAGGGGACTTGTGTGAAGTTAATTGTCTAAAAGGTTTGTGAATGTAGGCCAGTCAGCCTTCTTGAAGTTCCATGATAGCTTAGTGGGTGCTTTCCATGTCACACTTTTGCTGCCGATGGTAATACCAGCAATGACTGGTTTGTGACCAGCTCATGCTTTTGCAACCGATGGTAATACTAGCAATGACTGGTTTGTGACCAGAAAACCAGGATCATCAATTATTTTGCGGTGTGTGTGCTCACTGATGTCGCTTGCAATCTTCAATTATTTTGCGGCGTGCAAGCTCACTGATGGCGCTTGAAGCCAGGAGTAAGTCAGGAGTTGTTCTGGTTCCATTGTAGTGCAAATATGTAGCCGGATCCTCATTGCTGTAAATAAGTTCCAGAGGGTTGCTGTTTAGTATGTCTTCGATTTCCTTTCCAGCTATGTTTGTATCCTTGTAGCCCCATCTGGTGGAATGGGCGTTGAAGTCTCCTAATACTACAGTTTTGTATGAGATGTTCAGGAAATCAAAGTTGGGACTATTCTGGGGTGGATTATAGGCTGCATATATCTTGAAGTGGTTTTGAAATTTTCAAACATTTAATCTGATTATTTCACATATGTCTTGTGTCGAGCCCATACTCTTGATTAGATCGTAAAGTGTGGTGAGGCCGTATTTAACTCCAGTCAGAATTCCACTTGCAACTTGTCGGTATTTAGGTAGATTGTACAGGGTATAACCTGGGAATTGGTAGTATTTCACTTTTTCATCCGAAATGTTTGCTTCCATAATTGTGAAAATGTCTACATCATAGGTTTGTAGGATTTTCTGGACAGGGATCTTTTTGTCCTGTGACATCCCTCCAGTATTCCACTGGAAGAACTGAAGACTCTGTGATTCGCCCTGACGATGGCGATTTCTCTTATGACCTTATTTCAAGCTAATCATAATAAATCGAAGTCAAATCAAATGCCGAGTGATAGACTTTTTTGCCGTACGAAGGTACGTTGTCCAGGTGGCTAATCATAATAAATCGAAGTCAAAAACGAATGCCGAGTATTTTGCCGTACAAAGATACGTTGTCCAGGGTGCACCACGTAGTACGAAGGTACGTTGTCCAGGGTGCACCACGTGGAGGTAAGTCTATCGTATTCTTAAGAATAATTGTTTAGAAAACCAGCAAGGGTTGAGCACCCCCCAATACAATATAAATTGCATCTCAAAATTTAAAATGAGGACAAATAAACATATACAGACATTTGAATTAGATATTATCCATTTTATGCCATTAGAAACTGTTGTCTTCTATAAAACATGCAATATAATAACTACAGTATTAACATAAAATATCTTTTCTAAGGCCTAAATCATTGAACAAGCACAGATGTGCAAAATGGAATACAGTGGTTGTGTTATTTCTAATCTATCAAAAATTGAAAGTGAATTTAAAATTGAGGTTTGAATAATTTGGTACAAAAATAATTTCAAAAATTATTAAATTGCCTTTAGAATAGCATATTAAGATTGTGGAACAAATAAATAACCTCAATTCGGTGACCTATTAATAAAGGTACTATCATTTCATCAACAGTATTCTCTTATAACGACTTATTGGTACAATGGGTGAAATCCATAAATATGTTGAATATTCTGTGTTTATGTACTCTTTGTTCGCATAACTGGAAAATGGATACGATTTAATTGACAATATGGTTGGTAAATGGACCTCAACTATAATTCCAGATCGTTTGATATATATATATATATATATATATATATATATTCAAAGCTCTTGCCTAATATTTTACTCTCTTGTACTAATAAAATAATCATCGATAAAATCAAAACGATTAACATTCTTTATTAATCAGAAAGAATTCTCAAGGAAGAAAAGCGTTAACCGATACTTCTTCTGAAATGTACTCACTGATTACAGATAGAACTTTGAATTAACCTAACTAACTTAATGCCGCCCTCAATTACCTGAACTCAGGAGTTGATCTTGGAGAAATTAATTAGGGAAGAACTGAGAGGAGACAGTAATTTTGATATCAGGCAGCTAATATTAGAATTTTTCTTGAAAAAAGGGAAGCTTAAAGCATAAATGTTAAATAAAAACGAAAATCGATAAACTGTTTAAAAGTTGTAGTTGATTCACACAAACGAACATGTGTCATCTAAACAGGGAAAAGAATATCCCTAAAACATTTGATGTGTAGAAGAGATTAGGTGTAACCTCGAATTCAAAGATAGTACGACCAAGCAACCGATTTCAGTGATTCCAACAAATAATGAGAAGAAAGAGGACAAAAAGACGATGAGATCAACCCCAAAATATTAAACAACATTCACTCGGGGAGGAAGGGGGTAAAATTTTAACCAATTGGATAGTTTATGACCCAAAATACATATTTTTGTAATTTATTCTCACGGATACAGCACAGGTTTATCTATGGTTTCGAGTGCTTATTCACGGAAGATGTGATCCCAATGGTCAGCATTGTCACTTCACTTACTTTGTTTCTTCGACGCATTGAAGAAGTCCGCATGAAATTGCCTTGAATTGAACAATCAGTGGATTCTAACCAAATAGAGGTTAGATAAGCAGAGTTTTTCAGCTGTATTTACTCAAAGTGCAACAGAAGAGGGACAAATTGTATTTTTCTTCGATATTTCAATGGTAAAACATGACCAACTGGCTCGAGAGTTCAAATAAGCATGGAATTTTCAAATTAATTTCAATGACTTTCATATGAATACTATAGGCTTGGATTTCATTTTTTTAATTAGTTTAAAACAATAAAAGGAGAAATATAAAGCAAAATTGTAAATTCAATATCCATTATGAGCTTATATTTGTTTCATACTTTGAGCAAAACTCTAACTAGATGCGATGTTAATTAAAGCAGCTGCATATTAAATACTCCTGATTTATGACTTTAATTTAATTAAGACTTGCGACAACAAGATACACTAAAAGTAGCTAATATAATTAAATATTATTCTTAAAACAACCGAAACGGTTCTTATTGCCCCAAGATAGTCATAAGGATAATAATCGATACCTGGGTGAAAAGAGGTTGATAGGAATCAAGATCACTTCGAAAATGTGTTATTATGTGAGCGTATTTGGGTGAATATGCCCATATGATTGAAATGCCAGACTGTTTTACACTCAATTTGCACTAAATGACAAATCTGTCCTTTCGACAATGGGACATTATTGGCATGCCGTCAGAATTTATCCAAAATGCAGAAATTTAATTAAATGCAACACCAGTATACAAATGTTAAATAGAGTTTACAGACGCCAACAAAACATGTTACTTAGCATGCATCAAAGGGATAAATTTGGTACTGCCTGTCTGGACGCTGTTTATGACACAGATCTTTTCCTATTGAAAAATAGGCATTCCGTTTAAACACTTTCACTTTGTTTCCTTTGTAATAAAAGAATTTGCTTCGTTTATTTAAAAATGTTAATTTACATTGATTTTCATCTGGCATTAACTTAATTGCGAATTAAACTTCTCTGGTTATTTGAACTGACAGGCATGCTATGATCGAATGTCAGTCAGTTCAGAATGAACTTAATACAAACAGTAAGATAAAAATAATAACCATTCCAATGCAGGCAAAGGTTTCTGTTGCAAAAAATTATTAACAATTTATACTTTTTAAGTTATTTGTTAATTCTCTTCCAGCCCGAAGCTTGGTACAATTCGACCAAAACTATTTCCAAAATTAGTCATTCTACCGAAATTAAATGAGTAGGACTTAGAGACAAACCTGAGTTACACGTTTGGGTAGATTAGTGACATGTGCGATCTGCTCCAGCAGCTGTCCGTCAGGATTCATTACAGTTTTGAAATAGGCATGGAGAATGGCGTTCTGTTGAGGTGTGAAGGAGGTTCGAATTCGTTTTTGTCTTCTCAAATTGCCTTCAGCGGAAGATCGCTGACTAATGGAAGCACTTCGGCGATTATTAGGAAGTGTACTGCGTCTGGGAGATTCCAGTAGCCTACTCTTTTCTTCTTTCAGCATGAATTCATCAACTACAGGTGTTGATTCACTGGAAGTGCGATCTAGCGTATCGATTTTTAACTCCATTGAGGCATTTCCTGTAATTGAGAAGTTTGTAAATCCAATGTCAATATAAGGAACTATGAATTAACTAAGAGTTCTATTACTTAAAGAACTGCTGAACGCCAAAAATCAAATTTCGATGCATATAATATTCAAAAAGGAAACATTCATCTGTCATCAAATGAGTTAGAATGAAACATTGGGTAAAGCATCTTCAAATGCAACGAAACCTTAAATCTTAAATTCTTCCAATTATCATTTATGACCAATTCTTGTAAAAATATTAAAAACCATGCTCTAATTAGAACGCCTTAAACGAAAATTAGCTTAATTAGAATAATTTAAAACGAGGGATTATTAAACAATTATTTATTATCAGAAGTTTTCTAAATAGCTACAAAAATTTCAGAATTCAAAATTTGCGCTAAATTACCGTGGTGGTTAGCTTTGCTTCGAATTGACGGAAGTCAACAACCTCCCAACTTAACACATGTTTAATAATACGTAAAATCTGTGAATAATAACTGAAAAAATAACTACTTTAATTTTTTCTAAAAATAGAAATGTAAAGGAATGCGAAATCAAAAATTTGTCATTCTGTTGGCCCTCATTTAACTAGCTACATGAAGGTTTAGGCGAGCAGTACATTCATTTGGTTTCAATCAATAAATAGCCCGAGGTTCATAATATTAACCTCAGTGTCAGTTTTTATCTCCTGCTATTGGAACTCCGAATTGGCGACATGCACAGATACAAATAAATAAAAGTAAATTGTGTGAAATTGACCCTCTTACGCGTTTTAACTTATTCGCCTTCAATAATGGGGTTCAGGTATTTCAAGTTTAAAAGATCCTAGCATATTTTGTGAATTTAAGCTTCTTTTCCGAACTCAAAATACCTACCTTTTCAATTTTCATAACTCATGAATCGTCTTAAATGACGAAGCTTGTTGAACTTCATTGGGCTGCTTTAATAGTACGTATTATTGATTCCATTAACTCAATTAAAAATACATGCATACATATATTTCTATACTTACTAATATTATCATGCGGTTCTTCAAGGAGGAAATGCATCAAATGTTTATTCTCTCTATTTTCCTGTTTAGTCCACTGCAAATTCATAAAGCACATAGATACTTGGCCGTGACTTGTGCAGGTGATCTGACCTTGAGTAAAGACAACCCTTTCACCAATAAGGGGATGTCGATTGCACACTGAGCAGGTAAGGCACTCATCGTGAAAGACATGGTGTGATAAGCGAAAGATACGGGACTTTTCAGATATTCGGAGTTTGCATTTTGCGCAGTGTGTTTTCCTGTCATAGAAATAGCACAGCAGTGAAACAAAACCAAATTCTTAACGCAACAGCTTCATCATAGTTGAAGCACCAACAAAGTTGGCTTCCATCTCTGGCACTGTAGAACTTTATCACTTGGGAATTCATACAATAAGCGACATATTTTCGGGATGATATATTTGTTTAGGGTAAACTCAACAAATGCCATAAGTCAGTGAAAAATACCATTTTTCGTCTTTGATATTTAGGGAAGTATGAAGTATGGAAGTATGATTATGAATTCCCCCTTTCCCCTAAAATGAAACCCTTAATGTGGACGTTCAATTGTTAGCCCTTTATAACGCAAACTAACCTACCAATACTTTAAATAAATGTACTACTTTCAATCTAAATCTATAATTTCAGTAATAGGGGTGTGCGATAGACTTACCTCCGAGTGGTGCACCCTGGGCAAACGTATACTCATACGGCAAAAAAGTCTATTAATCGGCAGTTGACTTCTCACTTCAAACTACCATGACCCCACTGTATGTCATATTTGACTACTTCCACATTTCTCGCCTCACCATTTTTTCTCCCTTTGTGTCTGTCTCTTTAACATCTTTGAAACACTCTTCCAAACTTTGTGTCTGTCTCTTTTACATCTTTGAAACACTCTTTTGTTCCCCCCCCCTCCCCCTCTCGACTTTTTTCACTTTGATGTTTTCTCCCTTTGTGTCTGTCTCTTTAACATCTTTGAAACACTCTTCTGTTGCCCTCTCTCCACTTTTTCTCACTTTAATGTTCCTCCCCTCTGTGAATCCCGAAGTCAGCTAAATATCATAAAGCCCGCCATTTGTAATAAATAAATAATTTCTGATAAGGCGTTTTGCTAGACAATTTAGTACGAAATTTTGTCCATCTAATTCGCTTTTACCTTAATTATTCTACTACAGGTAAATCAATTTAGAAAACATAGTGTCTTAAAAATAATTGAGATAGTTAAGCCGACTTACTGTTTATAGCACAAATCACAGAGGACGACTAATTGCTCAGGAAAATAGCATTTCGGAACGTTTTCGTTGAGTAGAAGTTCACATTGGATGCAGCGTAGGCAGTCAATGTGAAAATAAGCAGCATTTGGAGAAATTTTCCCAACTGAACTCCTAACCAATGAGAGAAATTCCTTCGATTTGATGGATTCCTTGCATTTAGAACAAATATTGTCTGTAGAGGGTGTATTTAGTATAAAATGAGAGCTATCCATGTGGTAGATTTGATGGATGTTCTTATTCTAAAATAGAAGGCGCTGTGTGAATTAGTGACCAAATAGGAAATTAGGCCAAATAATGTGTTTATGATTACCGAAAAATCCTTTTGATTGACAGAAATCAAAGATAGAAGTTGATATTAGAGCTATCTTTTTTTTAAAATGACCAGCGACTTTGATTGTCGGGTAAAATCAAAGCGAGTTGTCCAATCAGAGGCGCTTCCACTGAATTTTTGCCCACCATCCCTTCCCCCTCCCCCCCC